AGTAAAATAGTTTTAATGGGGGTAAAAAGGAAGTTGGTTGCGCTTGTTCTGGCCGCTCGCAGAACCCTGAGATGTCCTTCATAGAGCCCCTGGGTTGCACGAAACTCAGTTTGAGAACCTATGCACTACGGCATGTATTACTACATCTAACCGTAAACGCAAAGAGGTTCGTTTCAAGACACCACAGGGTGTGCTGTGCATGATCCTAAAGTAAAAAAGTCTTTTCCTTGAGAACGGTTGGATATTTTCACGGATATTTTCTGTGATAACAGTTGGAGTGAACACACTTTTTTACCACAAATAAAAGTGCTTCCGGTGAGTTCACATTTCCTCCAACAACTTTTTTTTTTCATTTGGTTATTTTTCTTAGCTGCTTGCAATTGTCTGTGGCATATGACATGAACTCATGGTTGAATTTTCAGAGATAAAATGAATATATGTGGTACTTATCTTTAAACCAATGCATTATGGTGACGAAAGGTTCCACTATTTTAGGAAATGTTACTCAATTTTTTAGGCATGCATAATGTCACAAAATGGCAGCTCTAATGGCTGTGAGCATAGCTATAGCTTCACAGCCACAGAATACTGTTAACATGTAGTAAGTCTTGGAAAATGCTTACTTTAGTAAGCAATGCTTGTGTTTGCATATACCTTGAAGGGCCTGTGTAAGAATAACAGCTGTGAAAAGTCTATCCCCCCTATAGTCCCTGCTCCCACCACCACTGGTGAAGATGGTGGTGGTAGGAGGAAATGACATTAAGTGATGAGGTTACCGTAATTACTCGAATCTAACGCGCACCTTTTTGCCGGTTAAGCGAGTTCATAAATCGCATGCGCGTTAGAACCGAGTACGAACCAAACAATTGCGGTCAATCTATTGCCATCGGCAAATCCAAAATGGCCCCCTATGTGTGTCGGCATGGCACGTCAGCCATTTCTGCCTATGTGTTTCTCATGTGCGGCACTTCGTACGTGTGCTGAGGAGTTCGTCATCTAGTAGTGCATTAGCATCGACGGCTTGGAAGGGCTCCAAAAACTCGAGTGCACCACGATGCCGCTTTTAAAAGAAAAGTCATCGCGTGTGCAGAAACGGACGGAAATCGGGCCGCATCGCAGTCATTCGGAGTTCCCGAAACGTGCGTGCGGGACCGGCGGAAACAAAAGCGGAAGATTGTCGACAGCAAAGCTTTACGCAAAGGCTTCAGTGGACCACAGCAGGGTCAGTTTCCGCAAATTAAAGAGCTGCTCGGCGAGTATGTGCTTGAGCAGCAAGCGGCACAGCGGCCCGTGACAACAGAACTGCTCCAAGTAGGGGCTATGCAATTAGTCTTAGAAAAAGGTCTAATGCGGAGCCAGTTTAAAGCGAGCAGGTGCTGGCTAACTAACTTTATGAAAAGGAAAGGCTTTTACCTCCAAAGGGGAACATGCATATGCGAAAAGTTTTGCGGAGGAGTACGATGAAAAGCTTCACAGTTTTCAGAGCTTCGTCCTAAACTTGAGGCGCAACAACGGCTACCTGTTTGGGCAAATCGGGAATGCCGAGCAGACGCCTCTTTACTTCGACACGCCTGGCACCACAACCGTCGAGAAGAAGGGGGCGAAGCAAGTTGGCGTGCTGACATTGGTCCACGGTAAAACTACAGTGACGGCAATGCTCTGTTACACGTCAGATGGGCACAAGCTTCGCCCGTACCTCATATTTAAATGGAAGACGCTCCCGAAAGGAGTCGTTTTTTCGAGTGGTGTTATCGTGCAGGCCAGCGCGAAAAAATGGGTGCGCGTTACAATCGATGTCTTACGTTTTTTTTTTTTTTTCGCAGTGGAAATCGGGTGCGCGTTACAATCGAGGGCGTGGTAGAATCGAGTAAATACGGTAGATAATGTTGAGGCGTGTGTGGTGCAGCGAACAATTGTAAAGCTCATTTGCAACCCTATAGCTTTGTACACTATGTGTGACACATTAACTGGGGCCCTTTAGGGCCAACTGAGCATCAATGGCAAGAGGTGGTTTGACACCTAATACAGTTTCTCTGTCATTATTTCTCAAAAGGTCGAAAAGCCCAAACTACCCTCTTAGTGATGCCTGTTCAGGAAGCAAGGTCGACAGCTTGGCTAGTTATCATTTCATATTTTTCAAAGCAGCGTGAACGACATGACAATAAGTGGACAGTATGAATGCTTAGTAGTGTCCACTTGTTGTCCTGGCTTTTGGGTTACTTTAAATAATGGAAAGGCACATGTTTTAACAAACATTGTTTAGAGATCCACATGAAGAAATGCAGCTGGTGAATTTAGAATAGAGGTGCACTTCTTTTATGTAAAAAATGCATTATGGTTAGACCATTTTTAATATCTCTTGTGGGCTATAATGCACTGTCTAATATTATATGATGGGCTATCTAAATGTCCTCAGAAACTGCACTGCTATGTGTAGACAAGGTAGCTACGTGCTGCTCTTCTGCTACAAGGTGTTTTTAATGCGAAAAATGAGCTGCTCTCAATTTTTTCTGTTGGCAAGCATAACAGCACTCATTTATATTTCGAGCTTTGCCTCGCAATGGCATGATATGTTGCTAGTGTCCGCGTTTGCATGGGCATGTGTATGTTTACATGCAATATACAGGTCAGTCCGCTGTTAGAGGGAACACACGAATGCGTGGCCTGCGCTCTTCGGTGGCTGCTTACAGCACCATCAGCCGACACAGCTAAGGAAAACACGTTTGCTTTCGGCGTCATCAGTTGCCAGACAAGATAACGATTCATGGCTGGCTGACAAGTGCTGTTAGATTGCACTCCCTCACTGCTCGCGCAACTAGCCATGTTGGGCGATGCCTGCAGCTTGTGCCGTGCCCGCTTACCACGTTCGATTTGTTGGCAGCAGACGACGCACTGCAGGCATCACCCTTTGCACGAGCGGAGAGGTAAGGTAATCTAGCAACGCTTGCCAACCGGCCATGACTCGTTATCGTGTTCGGCAATAGATGACCTGGAAACAAAACGTGTTTTGTTTTCTTCAACTGTCCGTTGATGGGGCAGTATGCAGCCGCCGCAGAACGCAGGCCACGTGCTCGCGTGTTCCCTCTAATAGTGGACTGACCTGTACATTGTCCATCAAACGTTCCCAGGCCACTATCTCTTGTGTTCCTATGGTAGCGTGGCCTGGAAACTTTCGATGGACCCAGTGCGTCAGAAAGTGTGTTTTTTTGTTTGAGCATGTTCTTTCATTTTGTTCAATGAAAAGCAAAACACATCCTGAAGTCATTCCTAAAAGTTTATTCAACGTCATGATGTCTTGGACCCATGAGCTTGCATATCTGCTAAGGATAAGTTAGGCGTTGATGCAGAAAAATCTTGAAGCTAAGTTCTACTCTGGTATTCCGGTCTAAGTTATCCTGATTATCCTTATCGGTGGTGCCTAAAAATTCATTTTCTACCTCAATCGAGCTAGCAAATAATCAAACCAATCTGGCCATACCCAGATAAATATCTGTTGTGAGGTTTGATGGTTCTCTGCTCAATTATTTTCCAGTCGGGGGACAAGAACTGACCTATTGTATTTCTTGGCAAAACCACTCACTTCGTCTTGTGTGATAGTCTCATTACGCTACTTTACACAGTGAATAATTTGAATCCTCAGTTGGTTGGAACCTGTTCGAAGATCCTGATAAGTGCAAATACAGGCCAAGATTTTAGTAGCATGAAACTGGTTATCGTGCTTCCTGCACATATTTCTTGGATTTACCATCTGTTGTCTTTATCTAGTCATAAAGATCACCTGTACGTAGGAATGATACGAATACATGTTTCACAATATGTGCAACAAGGTTGTTTGTTAACATAGTATCACTGAAGAACGTTGCTGCAATGTTTGCTTCTCTGTAGTTCCGCAGCATTGTGTTGCTGCATTGGTGGTGCGTTTATGCACAAGCACACTGTAGGAGTATGGTTGCGAATAAAAAAATTGAGAATCTTTTATTCGTTTTCTCATTCACTCCATCGTGAGGGTTTCGAAACTGGCGGGCCTGACATTTTCAAGGAGGATATGAGCATTTATTAACCAGATGCCTGCCTCTGGCAGTCTACTAATACTAGCATCATTCAAAACAATGTTCAATATTTCATACCGTGGTCACAATCAACATTGACTGAAATTCTATAAATATGGGCAGGCGGGAAAAAAATCTCACACATGCACACGAAGGTTCTAGGTCGGCTGATGCAAGCACGCTTGTTTCAAATCCATCAGGTGCTCGCAAAAGAAAAATAAGGTTGATACTTCTCTAACAGACCTTGTAGACTAAGGGAGATAGCATGACAGCAGGACTTCTGAACTATTCTTATAAAAAACAGGTTATGCAACCTCAAGTATTAAAAATTGTCCACCAAGAGTAAAAAGCAGAGAGGGGGCAGGGGTTAGCTTACTAGTACAGTGAAACTATAATAGTTAACCAGGATGCAGCTGTATTTTGAAATTGACCAGAGGTCGTTGCCATCAAGCTCCATGTACAGACACCATAAGATGAGGTTTAAGAATTACATGTTCTTAAGCTTTAACTTTACAATGTTTTGTTTTAGATGTCGAAAATACAAGGTAGTGCCATGCAGTAATCCTCGAGTTAAAGTAAAAACTGCGAAACAGTCTAGGGTTATTAAAATGTTTGCTCTACGATTAAGAGCTCAGCCTTCAGAAAGTGTGAAAACGTCCACATGCCTAGAAATTACGGCCTATGGAGGCGTATGGTTCATTGTCATCAAACACATGTCTAGCGATACTTGACAAATCTTTTCATCTTTTCAACAGGTTTGATACTTCAAGATCTAATGAAGTACATTATGTTTGCTTGCAGTGTCTCCAACAACTGCTGAGATGGCTTTGTTGAGATGAGCAGTCGCTTTGCGCGCATTCGGGAGAACGCAGATGTTATTTCATTTTGTTGGTTCCGATTCCCGCGGTTTTCACCATGAACAATGGAGGCTCGTCGTTTGTGTCGACGCAGGCGCGAAATCTGTGGACGGAAACAGAAACCAGCGCACTCATCGATCAATGGCGGGATCGGCTAAACGATTTAAGCCAGAAACGCAACGCCAGGGTGTACCACGAAATCGGTCATGCGCTCCGCCTGCAAGGCTATCAGAGGACTGCTGCAGAGGTTAAGAACAAGATAAGGAACCTCACTGCACTGTACCGGTAAGTTCACAGCTGCATCCAATTACCCTGGCCTCCTCAGACCCAGCAATGTCCTGCTTGTTCAAAGGCTCCTAAAATTAGCTCTTATTGCCAGTCAGTGTATAACTTGAAAACCATTGCTTGCCTGGAATCAATTCCGTCACCTGCATGTGGCCAAATTTTTTTTTAAATATGTGCAGTGTTTGAGGAGGCTGGGTCTCATCTGCGGTGATGAAATGTGCTAAGGGTTGACAAAAGTTGGTTGGCATTCTAGTTTGCTAGCTGTCCACTGAGGGAGTTGGTAGACTTCTCCATGGCAGTTTGGGGTCAAAGTTAATGAACTTGCCAGCATTTGTGGTTGCCAGCTTTTGTCAACAATGAAATGGAGGGAGTGTCGTTACTTTTGTGCAGTGGTGATAGCGATCTCAGGTGCTAGAACTTTTCTCTGTTCTGACGCAGTCCCTAAATGACCAGATTTGGGGTCATAGTGCGTAATATGCAGAACAGGTGTGTGAAGAGACTCGAGAACCGCCTGTAAAAAGTGGGGGCTCGGTGCTGAAAAGTTCATCTTGTAAAGAAGACCATGTCTAATGCAAAATGGGTCTTCAGTTACCGAGCCTTGCGTTGTAGAGAAAAGGTACCGTAATTACTCGTATCTAACGCGCACCTTTTTTCCGGTTGAGCGAGTTCATAAATCGCATGCGCGTTAGAATTCAGTACGAACAAAAAAATTACGGTCAATCTATTGCCATCGGCAAATCCAAAATGGCCGCCCCCTACGTGCGTCGGCATGGCGCGTCGGCCATTTCTGCCTATGTGTTTCCCATGTGCGGCACTTCGTACGTGTGCTGAGGAGTTCGTCATCTAGTAATGCATTAGCATGGACGACGTGGAAGGGCCGACTCCAAAAACTCGAGTGCACCACGATGCCGCTTTAAAAAAAAAGTCATCGTGTGTGCAGAAACGGACGGAAATCGGGCCGCATCGCGGTCTTTCGGAGTTCCCGAAATGTGCGTGCAGGACCCGCGAAAACAAAAGCGGAAGATTGTCGACAGCATAGCTTCACGCAAAGGCTTCAGTGGACTACAGAAGGGTCAATTTCCGCAAATTAAAGAGCTGCTCGGCGAGTATGTGCTTGAGCAGCGAGCGGCACAGTGGCCCGTGACGACAGAACTGCTCCAAGTAGGGGCTATGCAATTAGTCTTAGAAAAAGGTCTAATGCGGAGCGAGTTTAAAGCGAGCAGGTGCTGGCTAACTAACTTTATGAAGAGGAAAGGCATTTCCCTCCGAAGGGGAACATGCATATGCGAAAAGTTTTGCGGAGGAGTACGATGAAAAGCTTCACAGTTTTCAGAGGTTCGTCCTAAACTTGCGGCGCAACAACGGCTACCTGCTTGGGCAAATCGGGAATGCCGATCAGACGCCTCTTTACTTCGACATGCCTGGCACCACAACCGTCGAGAAGAAGGGGGCGAAGCAAGTTGGCGTGCTGACATCGGTCCACGGTAAAACTGCAGTGACGGCAATGCTCTGTTACACGTCAGAGGGGCACAAGTTTCGCCCGTACCTCATATTTAAATGGAAGATGCTCCCGAAAGGAGTCGTTTTTTCGAGTGGTGTGATCGTGCGGGCCAGGGAGAAAAATGGGTGCGCGTTGCAATCGATGTCTTACGTTTTTTTTTTTTTTTTCACGGTGGAAATCCGGTGCGCGTTACAATCGAGGGCGCGGTAGAATCGAGTAAATACGGTATTTCAAGAGGGGGTCTTTCACTGCGAGAAGTGAAAGTCAGTGCATCGGGAAAATCAACTGACAATATCTTTCCTTTATTTAATGGCCTGATAGCTGCTTACTTGCTGCACATTCCTAGCTGCTCTGATTTTAAAAATTCATTTTGCTGACAAAAGCCCACAAAATCTGCATCTATCACAATAATTGGAAACTACATCAGACACATAAGCAAGCAGAGCCATCTGTGAAGACCGAAGGCTGTTTAAGTGAGGTCAGTGTGTTAGTTTCAGTAGATGCAGTTATAGGGTATTTTAGCTTGTACGTATTCTTTTTGAAGTTACCATGTTACCAGAATACGAGATTGTATTTACCATATTACCCAAATGCATGTTTAGCGCACCATATAGAAGCATTTATGTATATAATAAACAATTATTTTTGTGTTTGCTCAAAGCACAAAATAGTGCTAACTGCATTATATTTAAACTACATTTAGTTTAGATAAGATTGAATCTCTGCTGGGGCAAAATCATGAGAGATTTTTAGCCTGTATGGTAGTTTGGTATATGGAAAGAGCTGTAAGAATACCTCATCACCAGATAATAGTATTGGCATCTTGTAATGGTTCGTGCAACCACAGTCATAGACGCTGTGGTATCGTGTATTGTTTCTCAGGGAAAATTGGAATAAACGGGAAAGTCATCTGCGATTATGCTGCTGCATGGCATTTGCATCAGAAGTAGAATGCACAGTGTTTCTGCAATAACAATTTTGTACATACTTGCCTAGTTCAGCTTGGCCCCATTAGATGCCCTGTATTCAGCCTGCCAAAAACTTTAGACCTCTCACGCTTGTGGCTTTGGTATCCCAGATCACGCTTGCTTCGGCAGTACAGCTGAAACAAGGTGACCGCAACTTGTGCTCACACTACATATTATATTGTCTCGGTTACACGAGTCCCCTCAGACCGGATATCGCTAGTAGCCTTGAACAAAAGTATATTTGCGAGGTAGGGTCGTAAATGTAAAGCCGATCTGGCAAGTAATTTACATTTCATAAATTCGTATGCATGTGCAGTTTCTTTACGGTATCCGGTAATGTAAAGAAGTATACGTACAAGCTAAAAACCCCTATTGTTGCAAAGTGGGAATATAAAAGACTTTCAATCATAGTGGCATGTTAACTGGCATATACTTGTCTATTACCACTTAAGACTTGCTGAGAATGTATTTGTGATGGGTTATACCTGCAAGAAGACTTTGACTTGGGAAGACAATTCTCGGGACAGATGTCCGTTGAAAATACAGGGGCATGAAGGGAAAGTAATTGGTAATTGCATTGAATAGCGGCAGACCAGGAAATTTGAAAAGAGATTGGCCCGTGTGATGATGTACACTGACATTATTAGAGCCATGCTTTCGGACTTCACAGACGGCTCTGCTTGCTGATGTGTCTGGCATGGCTTCCAATTATTGGGATAGATGCAGATTTTGTGGGCTTTTGTCAGCAAAATGAATTTTTGAAATCAGAGCAGCTAGAAGGGTGCAGCAAGTAAGCAGCTATCATGCCATTAAATAAAAGGAAGATATTGTCAGTTGACTTTCCCGATGCACTGACTTTCACTTCTGAGCAGTGAAAAGACCCCACTTGGAAGACCCATTTTGCATTAGACATGGTCTTCTTTACAAGATGAACTTTCCAGCAATGAGCCCCCACTTTTCACAGGCGGTGAATTGCCGAAGAGTGTGATGTGTGTTTGTTGTCTGTCTTTAGCTACATCTTGATTTTGATACCGACCTATCAGTGTACATGTTAGTAGTCATCATTTGCCTCGGTTGGTCAGTGGTTACGTTGCTTGGCTGCTGACCTGAAGTTGAGGGTTCAGTCCCTGCTGTATTGGTCGCATTTAGATTTAGGCGAAATGGTAGCGGCCCGTGTACTGTGCGATGTTAATGCACGTTAAAGAACACCAGAGGATCAAAATTTCTGGAGCCCTCCAACTACGACATCCCTCATGATCATATCGTTGTTTCAGGACGTAAAAACCAGATATTATTATTTATAAGTTGCCATAAAACGTTAAAAGACACGGCTTTCAGTAGCATGAAACTGGGTGCTCGTTGTCCACCACTTTCTTTTGGCTGCATTTGTGGTACATACGTGGTATTTTTTTCCTTGCAGTAACTACTTGAGGACGAGCCTAACAACGCCTTGCAGCATTCTTGATTGGCCGTATTTCAAGCGGATCCAATCACTTCTGGGTTCTACCCTGTGATTGAGCAAGCTGCTGCCTAAGAAACAACTGCGGCCTTTCAACTGCCGCCGAGTAAGAATGAACATTTCTGTTACGTATTTGGCATACCAGCTAAGCTCTTTTCTTAGGCTGTAGCATCAGTTATAGCATGCATAGCATTTTCCATAAGTAGGTATGTGAACTACATTGCCTACATTTGGTGAGCCAAACACTGGTAGCTGATAAGTTCCTGCGCTGTGTAGAAACTTAGAGTGCCTCACTGATTGAGAATACCTTTTGCACTCATTGCACATGCTTTTGCAATGGTGTGCAGCGTGTCAGTGTGGATTAGCATAATGCAGAACTACACCATGAATCATCGCTACACTGTGTAGAGTGTGCAGAATTTATGCACCATGCCTGCTCTCCATCTTTGTCGCTTTGAAAACGAGGAGGGCATTAAAGGGGACACTATAGGGGAAAACGCCCTTTCTTATTTTAATAAATTACTCCAAGAGTTGAGTTTTTCAGCAGTACTTGATTACAATTTCGCCGCAAACAGGAAGGGGTGGGGGGGGGGAATGACGGGCCACGCTGGTGCCACTGCAAAAAAAAAGTTCTAAAATGTGCGTTTGCAGAAAACAAGATATCTTCACTGCAACACAGTGGTGACACATGGGAAGCATATCACCTCCTCTTCACTGTTTCAGCACATCATGATGTGACTGTTCGCCCGTTCTTTTTCGCCTGTTCTTTTTTTTTATAAAGAATTTAATAATGGCCCATGTGATGAGATATGCAATGTTTTCTGGCCAAAAGAAAAAAATAATCATTGAAGCTTTTGATCTTAGTTTGTAAAGTACGCATTGCAGGCAAGAACATCAGTGGAAACGCGCAAATTACTGGAGAAAGTGGCAATCGGAGGTTCGCATGCAATGCGAATTCTGCCAAACTGTTCTTTAATAATTTCTTGATATTCCCAGAAAGAATGAGTCAATCATGGCTTGCTGATGTTGCGAGAAATGTATAATAAGCTGTACGTGAGTCACTGCTGCGCTGCAGTGAAGCATATCTTGTTTTCCGCAGGCGCATGTTACAGTTCACGGGGTCGTTATTTTTTCTTGTTTTTATTTGTTTTTGCACAGGCAATAGTGAGGCTGAAGTGCTTCAACTGCCACTCATGCCTTGTGACTCTTATGGGCCATCATTTCTGTGTATTTTCGGCGAAAGCGTGATCGGAAATCAGCACATGGCACCTAAAATTTTAGAATTTACCAGGCTGGTGATGACCGCTGCTTCAAGATATTCTCTCAGACTTACATTGGAAAATACACGACTGCAGAAACATTTTGAATGAAGTGGGATTTGGAAATAACAGAGATTGAATTGATGAGGTTTTACTGTACGCTGACACAGCGGTCCAGCTGACGGACGACTCGTCAGTATTAACGCGTGCATTGATTACGGTGATCCGTTTGCGAAAACTGGTGCAGCTACATGTGAAACGTGCGATCTGCTTTTTCGTCAAGCTGAGGGCTCGTTCGCACTAAAGGTGGATCGGCAGAGTGAGTTTTTTAAAACGGCGATGCTGTAAGTGCAAGCAGCTGTTCAGACTGCACATCTCTTCTGGCTGGCTGCGCAGCAGAGGGGATGGGCATCTCGTGCTTTTGTATACATTTCGCTATCATGTCATAATGCTTCCTCCAAAAATACACCAGCGCCACCGCCGCACTTCCTGGCATTGCATTCGGATTGGCTGTGGCAAAGTGGCAAGCTTCAGCAGATGGCAGAAAATTGGTACAAGAAAGATTGAACTTGCCGCCTCATTTTCTGCCCGCTTTCGCCGCCTGGGGGGGGGGGAGGGTCTCGCTTTGGCGCTTTGGCTGCTGCACTTTCGGTGTGAAAAAGCCTTGAGAGTCCCTAGTTGTGTGCATATATTTCCTAAGCTCACTTCGCCAGCCCCGCCCTCTATAACGTACGCATGCATCTGCTCTTGTGCAGTGGCATTTCTTCTTGCTTGCTCAGCACCAGACTGTACAAAGGTTCGATGAGTATTTTGTTGGGCAGATGTGGTGGTGGCAAGTTGCTTTCTTTTCTGCATCTGACATGCACTTTATGTAAGTGGCCACCCTGTGAACTAGGGGGCTGCAGTGAATGGTGTGGTTGGTACACTTACAATAGGCTTACATGTACAGTCACAATGCTAAACCGCTAAGCCACATGTACTGCCAAGCAGGCAGTTTATCATTTAAATTTTTCAAGGTATTTCTCTTTTCCTTTGTGGGCTTGTCACGAAAGGGTGCCGGTGCATTAGTCGGTAAAACCAATCATGCTCCTGTGCGTTTCTGTGCGGGCATTGTAGCACTCGTTCTGTAGTCTTACAAGTCAATGCATGGTCAACTAATGACGTATGTATCACTAACCCACAAGATCAGAAGTTCTCGAATATTCGAGTTACTACGAAGATTCGAAACTTTTCGATTATGTGATTGTCAAATTGAGTATGAATATTACAAATGCAATATTCAGCTGATATTCGAAACTTTAGAATATTGTCACACTCCTATTCGAAATTCATGACATTGCCGTAAAAATTTTGGCATGAAGTTCAAAAAATAAATTTCAACCTTCATTTTCTTCCCTGTTTGGAAGCCCATAATAGTGAAATTTGCACTATGTATTACATTTCTCATAATATATTCACTTAACCCAAATTCATTTGTTGTTTTTAATGCCTCTTTTTTAAGTGCACCTCGACCTTCTGCCAGAAAAGTTTCTACTCTTCTTCATGGCCACTTTGTGTTGTATGGCATGCAATTTAAAAACTCGTTTGCGCAAACCACGTACAACTCGAGCATTTGACCATTGGCGTTAGTAGAGCATTTACTTTGTGAATGCAAAGCGCATTTATGCCTCATGAAATAGGAAAAGTGACAGTCATCAGCGACAGCACAAACGGTACCAGGAAATAAATGATGTCACACAAGATTTCAAGATGGGCCACATGAAGTGTAAAGCCTTTCAAATTTGCTTGGTCATTTTACGCGTGCCCTACTCTACTGGTGACCACATAAATGTTCCCAGCAGCAGCAGCAGTGTTTGACTACATGCGCACGTAGAGAGCTAGCACACGCCAACTTCTGTCGTAATGATTTCTTTTTTATCGCTCTGAGAAGCCTTTAACATTTAAGTGCAATAGCAGATGAATCGCTACAGCACGTATCAAGTGAAACACATCCCTTTTTGTTTGAAAAACTTGGTCGGAAAATTTCTCTAGTAATGTAATCAAACGAGAAACTGAAACTGACACTGCATTTGCAACAGCCTAGTCAGAGCCAAGCAAGAGAGCTGGTTGCCATTGGCAGCATCACAGTTCATCACATTCGCTTTGAATATGAGTAAATGTTTAAGTAAGTTCGCATACTTGTTCAACTTGTGCCAACAACTCGCATCATGGGTTTCTCCACATTCTGCATGAATTGCATAATTGACTAGCTAGGTGTTTAGTCTTAGGTTAGCCATCATTCCACTTGTAACTGTTGTTATCCTACCAGTGGAAGAAATCAAAGATGCTGGTAACTATAAGGGCAACAACCATATTTTGTTTTTCACAGTGATAGAGTGCTTCGTAAAGGTTATAATGATGAACTATAATGAAGCTCTCATTCTACAAAGGCATTGGTCCCACACTTTCATTTTTTCATATTGGTGTAATTGGAGATCTGTTCTGCTTTCCTGCTGAAAAATCATGTGCACATTCTGTTTGTACATGCATTAGGCATTTTAGTATAACCTTTATTCTCATTTTCTACTTGGCCACCATGAACTGCAGGCATTGTTCAAGTTGGAATTGTGCTTTTGTCGAGATAGATACTGCCAAATAAGATAATGGTGTGCTTATTTTTTCTGCCTCTTGCACAGTTTGATAGCTCGAATAATTGAACCACTTTTGTTGCTCACTTTATAGTCAAATTAGTGGCAGTCCACTGATGTCATCACATAGTAGGCTGATCTTTTTTGCCTGTCATTTTTCGGAGTGTATCTTGTCAGGCACTCTTGAAGTGATTGAAGAAGGCCTTGTCTATTATACTAGATATGGAATAGTTGATGTTGTCATATTTAATATTCCTGTACACACTTTCCATGTGAACTACACACTGTGTATTTTTGATAGACCTCTCTGTAGAATTGGCAGGTGGTTAATTGCTACTGCAGCTGCGCATGTCTTATTGTTCTAAATTTGAGATAAATGTGGGCAAAAAACAAAGTTTTCAATAGACGGAATAGATCTGCATTCAGATGAGTTAGCAGTCTACGAGAGACAATTGTAGTCATGTGCCTGAGATCAACTGTATCCCCCGAATGAATGAAAGAGAGAAGAATTTTAAAGGCCAGCTTTTTTTTTTTTTTTTGTTAGAAAAATTGTTACTGAGAACTGTTGGACAATGAAGCCAAGGAAGGTATAGGGGATGTTATTTATAGGAAGTCACATAAAGTGCAAACTTTTTTGGTCTCTTGGAGCCTCAGGCCGTGTTATAGTTTTCGGCACCTATGTTTACTTATTAAATGATGGTTGTAGTATTCATGTAAACAGTTCCCCGAAATATATGTTTGGCCACATCCAGCAGTCTTGTATTGGCCTAAAGTTTGAGTTGTAGTGCACGACATATTTATTTGAAAACTTGTTTCTTAATTATTGTGTTCCACTCACTAGGCTCATTATGTTTCTTTTTTTTTTTTTTATGCAGGTCATGCATGGAAATTGCGGCACAGTTAGGAAGTACGCTATGTTGGTGTGATCTGGTCAAATGGACACTTCTGAAAGGAATCAAATACTTTTTCACCTTAACGACAGTTCACATAGCTTTAGAGAGTGATAAGAATCACCATGTCATTGTTTTTGAATATGTGTTGAAGATAGATTGTATAGAAATTTATGATGTCAATAAATGCTTGACACTGAGCAAAATCGTCATTAATATTGCACAGACGTAAAAGTTACACATTTGGTATCATATGTACTCATGATCACAACTGTTTCTCCATTTCCGAAGAGACGGTTTCAGTGAAATGTGTACGGTTTACTTGTATATAAACCGGGCACACACTTTAAGCCTGTAAGTATGTACAGTGGCTTTCTTTCAATTCAACGCATTCCGATATTGTCTCACCATGGACTGGCCCTGGCAACTTTTGTTTTAGATGCATCTAGAAGCATTGAACACTCTGCTAGAAGTCTCATGTTCACAGTGAGCTCATGATCAGTGCCAAATCTAGTTACCTGATTGTCTTCAGCAAAATGATGTGTTTAGATTTTTTTAATTGAACACACTTCAAGATTTACCTTGCTGTCTAGTCATTAAAAGTTTCATCTATACTCAAGCATCGAAATAATGAAATATTGGCTATAACGAAGTCAATGATGAATAGTCTTGCAATAAACATATTGTTAGGAGTGTATCTTTATAACAAGTTTTTGAATATAACGAAATTTTTCTGGTGTAAGATGCAACTTTGTTATAAAGAGGTTTGAGTGTATGCCATTCGCTAAAGTGCAAGAGGCATAGTGTGTTGATGACAACTTGATGACCCTGAACTTTTCGATAGTATGATGCTTGCCGACAGTGTTCCATGATTGTCATTTCAATTCAGCCAGGCTGAGAAAAGTACTGAAACGATTTTTAGATATGGAAAAAAGGACATATTTCTTTTTCCTAATATGCAGTGTTGACACTCTCCACACACCGGAGTTCGCTATCAGGTATGAAATATTTTCGTTGATTTTAAAGTTTTCGTCACTGAGCATCATGAAGCCAGCCACACCACAGTGGACATCATTCCGACAAGTAAACTCAGTTCCACTGAATTTGAGAACTGTTTTCTCCACACAGCCTGTATCACAGAAATCACCGTCAGGGTCCCGAGGGACAGTGCACTCGTTATTGTTTACGTGTACAATGAGTGAATGGCCAATCTACTGCTAATACGTCGCGAATTGCTGTCTTTGCGTGACGTCACACTGACATGGCACGTCACCGAAATGCACCCCTCAATATCGAAACTGAAAGTAACATTCTAAAGTTGTTAAATATGTGTGGGATGCCTTCGTAGGCATCTCAGTACTCTTTTGAGGTTCTCCAAACCTATGTTCTTCGAGCAAAAATCCCAAAATATTTAAAATTCGTGTCAGTGCTCCTTTAACATCACTTCCAATGACTGCTGGCCTACATAATTGGCAATCGCCATGCCATGTTAAGCAATCTTGCAAAGCTTTCACTCAGTAGAACTTTTGCGATTCCAACTGCAAAGAATACAAGTGAGGTTGTTTTTCATCCTAATTTTACAGTACGATTGCTTTCCAAGAGACTACCTGCCACAGTGGTAGTGGTTCTTTCGCTTAACTTCTGACCCAACGGTCATGAAAACAGATTCCAGACATGGCAGCTGAATCATTAGAGAGGAAATGCTAGAGGCCTATGTACAGTACTCACAAATTTAAAAGGGCAGTTTAGGGCTAAGTATTCATGTTTTCACTTGCAAAGCACTACTTGGCGAACTTCGACGAGTTTGATCGTACCTGCCTATCCGTATATCTATCTAGCAGCCTACTACTTTTAGCTCTCCTAACTGTTTCGATAATGGTATTTATACCAAATTTTGTATGGCATAACATGACTGTATAACAAGTATAACTGACTAGTCATAACATGAAAATTATCACATGTATGTCATGAAAGTCGTAATTTACATCTCATAGTCTTGCGGCTCTTGCAGTGGCTTCGTTCACATGACATATCGCAAAACTGGTATGATATGGCATGACTACATGGCAAACATAAGTGAGAGGCCTTCACGTGGAATGTGTCATGTAAAAACATGACTACATGCCACGCTCATGATGCGCTTGCGGTCGTTTTGCTATATTCACATACACCGAATTCAATATTACGTTACGTGAATAGATGACGAACATTTATGACTGGTGCAAACATAATAATTATGACATGTGTGTCATGTAAGAACATGACTACATGCCACACTCATGATGCGCTCACGGTCGTTTTGCTAGTTTCACATACACCAAATTTGGTATTACGTGACATAAATGGCTGATAAAGGTATATGACTAATGCAAATGTGGTAATCATGACATGTGTGTCATATAAGAAAATGACTACATGCCATGCTGATGATGCGCTCGCGTTCATTTCGCCGGCTTCACATACACCAATATTGGTATGAAGGGACATGAATGAATGGCAAAGGTATAAGGCTGGTGCAAACATCATAATCATGACATGTGTGTCATTAAAGAACATGACTACATACAATGCTCATGATGCGCTCGGGGCTGTTTCGCTACCTTCACATATACCAAATTTGGTATTACGTGACATTAAGGGATGATGAACAAAAATCCCAGGCACAAACATGATAATCATGACATGGAAGTCATGTACGGCACAATTTATGTGCACCTTGTATCGTTGTGCCGATTTCAAAGTGACATATCAACTTTCCTCATTTGTGCTTCGCCTATTATCAATTCCCATGATACGTGGGAACTCCGAATTTTTGTTTCTACAGTCCTGAGTTCGGGTCATATCAGCGTAATTTTTACTCGAACACATAGATGAGTGCCACATTATCTTGAAGACTGGATTCTTCGCAACATGGCGTAGTTAGCTCGACCAATTGCACATACAAGTGGTTATACTAAACAATTTTGATGTCGTGTTTGAATCTATGAGTACTGTAACCCTAGGTGGATGAAATTTTTAGAGCACTCCTTTTCGTGTCCTTCACAATCATGTAGTGGCTTTGAGACTTAAACTGTAATCCTTATAATAAAAGAGTGAAAATACTAAGACTATACATAATGCAATGCACATCATCATAGCTTGGTAATTATAACTGTTTGGCTGTGTTGGAGAAATGGCTTCAGGAGTTTGTTCCATTTGTTTCGAAAACCTGGTATCTACATCTCGTTATAAGCGGCACCCATTGTACATTAACTTTCACCAATGTTGGTGGCGTATCTTTCGCAAGGGCATGTTAAGTGATGCGGCCTAGTTCATTGGCGCCAAGACTGTAATCCTTGAAACACCGAAATCTGGCGCAATGCATGCTGAATGGCGCACACACAGTCATGGGACCAATGTTTTAAAAATCATCAAACCCTTGTATGCAGTGCACCAAATACGCAGACAAAGGTAGTGGACAGTCCAGAAATTACGTCCGCTGTTAAGTGCTGTCTTTTACACTTCGTTTGTCTGCATTTTCAGTATGCCTCAATGTAATTTTTAAATGTGAACGTCCGCCAATAGCCCTAGTAGCCTCCTTTTCTGCACATACACATACCAGATGACCTTGTTGCCTGCACTAGAACATATTCTGCCCAGCACACTTGGTGCTAGCTTTTAGATGTGGTCCGCTGCAGCAGAAACATTCCGCCAACTGCATTGTCACCTGGTATGGACCCAAAGTGTGGCAGCTTTTATCACTGACGAAATCATCACTTTTTTGTTCACTGTTGAAAGTGGTTCTTCGCACAGGCATCATTTAGCGCAAAGTTACATTATGGATTCCATGCACAAAGCAAAGCAGTTGTGCTGGTTGTCATATAGCTTCACTATGTAGGTGCCTTTGTCGGCAATTGGAAGGATGGCAATACTTTTTCGTTCTTACAGCTCTTGTGGAACCTGCTCTTGTGGAACCTTGTTGAAGTGCACAGTAGTGTACTGTGAGCTATTTGAAACTTTCACTTGCTGATACCTTTAACACTCTCATGCCAAAGGCCTGTGCAGCGGTGAGCACATCGATTGTCCATGGGTGCTCAGAACTACTGCCCTTCATTCATGGTGTGTTTGTTAGTGGGATTTACATTAATGATTAATCCAAACACTCCTCATAATCGCCAAGTGTCTGGCTGCCTTCTAGGTTACGGGTCCCAGTTTTCAGCTGTGGATGTCTGCTGTTTTTCCTGTGAGCACACATAGGGGCTATACTGTTCACAAGACTCACTGCTTGCTGACGAGACTCTGTAGTCTGTTAAAATACTATATTACTATACTATATATACTACAACCAGTTCCACAAATCTGCACAGCCTCCCTATGAATACTGGCCATTTAGCATTCTTGAATGTGACTTCAGACTGAAATTGTGCCACTAAAAATGGTGGCACTTTTTGAGGCGATGGCAAGCATGCAGCATGTAATGCACGTTGAAGCAACTACTGGCTATTGGTTATGTGCTCATGTTTGCTGTTCTTTCATAGAATTCTGTTAAGTGCTACCCAAGCTCCTGCATTCCGGATGACCAAAAATGAAATATTACTCAAGGCACATAACTTTTCTTGAAAGCCAAATTTATTCATTGATTCATTTATTTAGCTTGATCTCCTAAAGCGAGAACATTTATAAGGAGGTGCTATTATCAAGGGTACAGCAATAATGTTGGCCATCCTGTTTTTTCATGTGTATGCAGCAGATTTCATGCAGACATTTTTTGTATTCATCGAACCATTGGGGTGGATGACTTGGGCAAGTTTTTTATTTTTTGCAGTCTGCTAACTGCCTCATTTCTTCAGATAGGAGCACAGCTTCTGACGTTTGAATGCACATGTTCAAGGGCTTATCTAAAAACCGAGGCAGTAATTTTCCTTGGACAAGGCTTTCTCATAAACATGTATCGATTTTATCGGTGGTTGTGTGTTACAGCTTGGTGGATGGCGCATTATCTATTTCGCAATAATGGCCCCCTTTTCACTTTTTGAAGTGCAGTGACTCTTGCAGGGCTATCATACGTTGACGTCGAGTTTCTTTTTTTGTTTTTTCTATTCTCATGCCAGGATGACAAATGGTTAGAGGGGCACAAGTTGCCGCAGTTCTCTGATGATATACAGCCTCTGCTACAAGGTGCTGAGCTGACCAGGGAGGAACACTACAGGCTGTCGAAGCAGTTCCGTCGCGAGATTATCGACTTTCTGAAGTAAGTGCTCTTGCCATAGTCATGTTACTTTGAGTGCGATAGCATTAGAAAGCTTATTTTGCAGAAGTTCCAGTGTTGGCGGTGTCGGCGTATTTGGTTGTGAATGAGAAAACAGCGTTGGCCGTGAGTGAGAATTCGAGGTAGATGCAAGTCAAGACAATAGCTAAAGGGCATTTTGCACTTTGGTTCTCCTTGCGGTGCAGTTTAGGTCTCCACAAAGAAGTGAAGGCAGGCTAGTGATTGACAAGGTGATAGGGTTGTGTGTGTGCGCACGAAGGTATTGCTATCACATCAACTCTTAGAGGTGAATGTTAAGGGTCCCCTAATTTTTAAATTACTTTTTCTTCGATAGTTATAAGCTGTACTGTTTCTTGTTGGGAAGCAAAGGAAATTTATGGGCTTGTTTCTTTTTTTTTGTTAGGCAATATAATGAGAGCTAACAGACAATTATGCCAAGAAAAGTATAGAAAATGTTATTTGTAACATAATTATGCATAAATGTGAAGAAAGAAAAGGGGACCAAAAGATAACTCACCGCTAGTAGTGAGTGAATCTTCTATTCGATTTTTTAATAATGCACGCAATTCTCTACTAACCTAGCTACAATAGTGGACATCCCCCTATCCAGTATATGTAGTATATGTATTCAATAGACTCTCAGTAAATAAAACTCTGTTAGACAGAACCGCAGCTTAAAGGGGCCCTGCAACATTTTTTGTGTATGGTCAGATAACGCTGCCGATCTGCAGTAGAGGCTCCCGACAACACACGAGCCAAATATTATAGCACAGCACGCAGCCTGGAATTCGCAATAAATTATCAGTCAGCTAAAAATTGCTTTCTCTTCTCTTGCAAAGGGGTTTATTGGCATGGGTTGCGACGGTGGCCCTACGATGAAAACACGATCGGGACAGAGCAACGGTTAAGCAGATGCCAGCGACGATCAGCACGAGGCGAGCGAGAGAAGCCCAGGACCCAGTACCCAAGCTGTGGCGATGTTGCTTGCCAACTATGCGTTTTCTTCTTCACAATTTTCCCCCACCGAAAAAGAGCCATCCTGGCGACCTTAGAGTGTGGAGGCAGAGCGCTATGGTATGGCTTAAGGCGGGCAACATGGACGATGTCACGTCCACGCCGGCACATGTCGTCAGATGGTGAAAGTGGCTCAATGAGAAAATTCACCGACGAGGTTTGCTCCAAAACACGGTAAGGACCCTCGTACTTCGGGACGAGTTTTGAGGAAAGGCTGGGGGTTTGGTAAGGAACAGCCAGCCATACAAGTGATCCCAGGGAATATCTGTGGCTTCTTGAAGAGTCGGCGTTGTTTTCTTTCTGGCGCTGCTGTTCTTGTGACGTAAAGGTGCTTGCGAGTTCACAGCACTCCTCCGCTTTTCGAGCAGCTTCGGACACAGATGGGCATTCGGATGCGTCAGGACAGTATGTAAGGAGAGTGGCAATAGTGTGGGATGGTTCTCGTCCGTAAAAAAGAAAGAAAGGCGAAAATACAGTGGTAGACTGAGCCGCGGTGTTAATGCGAACGTGACGAATGAAAGAATGCGATCTCATTTAGTATGATCAAATGTCACATACATCGCGAGCATATCGCCGAGGGTGCCGTTAAATCTCTCCGTGAGCCCGTTAGTCTGCGGATGGGATGCCGTGGTCTTGCGATGAACAACATAGCATGCAGAAAGCAGAGCCGTGACGACTTCTGATAGGAAGGGTCGGCCTCGGTCACTTAGTAGTTCTCGAGGTGCACCATGTCAAAGTATGAATCGATGAAAGACGAAGGACGCTACGTCCCGCGCAGTGGCACTTGGAAGGGCGGCGGTCTCAGCGTAGCGTGTTAAATGGTTCACAGCGACTATGATCCGCCGATTTTCATCTGATGATGTTGGTAGAGGGCCATAGAGATCAATTCCGATCCGCTCGAAAGCTTTGGTAGGACATAAAAGCGGTTGAAGTGCACCGGACATGTGGAAAGGCGGCGATTTGCAGCATTGACAGTCAGGGCAGCCCATAACAAATTTTCAAACAAAATTATACATTCCGCACCAGTAGAAGCGATGGCGAATGCGTTCGTAAGGTTTGAAAACTCCGGCATGGCCACATTGGGGATCGTCGTGAAAGGAGGCGCATATTTGGGATCGCAAGCTGCAGGGGACAACCAAGAGCCACTTAAGACCTTAAGGGGCGTAGTTACGTCGGTGTAGCAGCCGACCACAAATGGCGAAATGAGCAGCTTGACATCGGAGAGATCGTGATACCGCAGTGGTTGACAAATAGAGAGACAATCAAAAAGGGAAGCGATCTACGGGTCCTTGTGTTGTTCACTTGCAAAGGAGTCGAGGTCGAGAGATGCGACGGAGTTGATACCAGTGGTTCCGCAGGCCGAGTCGAGAGGTAAAGGCGAATGGGACAGGGCGTCGGCGTCAGAATGCTTGTGTCCGCTGCGATAGATGAGGCGAATGTCGTACTCCTAGATTTGCAGGGCCCACCGAGCTAGGCGGCCAGAAGGATCTTTCAATGTGGCGAGCCAACAAAGTGCATGGTGGTTCGTTACCAGGTCAAATGGGCGACCGTACAAATAAGGGTGGAACTTGCGAAGCGCCCACACTAGCGCTAAGCACTCGTTTTCAGTGACACTTTAATTGGCTTCAGCTTTTGTGAGTGTTCGACTCGCATAAGCGATAACGTATTCGGAGTAGTCCGGCTTGCGTTGGGTGAGGACAGCGCCAAGGCCAACCCCGCTAGCGTCTGTAGGAACTTCTGTTGCAGCTGTTGGGTCAAAATGCCGAAGAATGGGAGGAGATGTTAGCAGACTACGGAGTGTGGCAAACGCGACGTCGCAGTCAGGAGACCAGGATGAAAGGTCTGCGTCACCACGTAAAAGGTTGGTCAGGGGTGACATGATTGACGCAAAATTTCGAACTAAGCGCTGGAAGTACGAGCATAGTCCGACGAAACTGCGTAATTGTTTTAGTGTAGTAGGTTTCAGGAACTCGGCGACTGCTCCCAGTTTTGCAGGGTCGGTTAGAACACCATGCTTGGACACGATGTGCCCTAAGATGGACAGCTCTCGCGCGGAGAAGCAGCACTTTTTAAGGTTCAGTTGGAGCCCAGCGTTGATTAAACACGTCAGAACCAGTTGGAGCTGAAGCAGATGTGTAGGAAAATTGGGAGAGAAAACGACAATGTCGTCGAGGTAGCATAGACACACAGACCACTTCAGTCCACGCAGCGTGTTGTCCATGAGTCGTTTTAACGTGGCAGGAGCATTACAAAGCCCAAATGGCATTACGCTAAATTCATACGGGCTATCTGGTGTAATGAACGCAGTTTTCTGGCGATCAGCTTCTGCCATAGGAACCTGCCAGTATCTAGATCGTAAGTCTAAGGAGGAGAAGAATTCGGCTCCTTGTAGGCTGTCAAGGGCGTCGTCTATGCGCGGTAATGGATAGACGTCTTTCCGCGTCACCTTGTTTAATCGCCGGTAGTCGACGCAAAATCGAATCGATCCATCTTTTTTTCGAACTAGAACGACAGGAGATGCCCAAGGACTGTGCGATGGTCGAATAACGCGACGGCGTAGCATCTCTTCGACCTGGTCGTTGATGACGTGACGTTCTGCAGCAGAGACACGGTACGGTCTTTGACGCAATGGCTGGTGCGAACCGGTGTCAATGTAGTGGTGCACTGCGGAAGTCCGACCCAATTGCGGCTGAGAAACGTCGAATGAATTCGCGAAGTGCTGGAGGAGATTAAGAAGCTCGGCGCGTTCATGGGCACTCAAGGTGTCGGCGATGGAACTCGAGAAGGTGTCACTCGATGAGCACAACAGTGGGGAAAGGGCATGAAGTTCGGTCGAGGCGCTACTGCACGATTCGTCTGGCATGCTAAGGAATAAAGAGGAATCGAGGTACTCCACTCGACCGAGACATTCGCCGGCAAGTAGCGTAAGCGGTGCAGAAAGGGGGTTGTGAACGAAAATATTGCTTCGGCCCGCAGTGACGTCGAGTGTAGCGAAAGGCAAGGAAACGGCTCTGCGGCTCATGAAAATGTCGGAAGGTGTAAACATTACTGTAGCATCGTTATAGTCATCGCAGCAAACCGGGACAACGGCAAGAGAGGCTGGCGGAATTTCAGTGTCCTCACGCACGACCAGTTTTGGCGACCGCTCAAGGGTGTCGTGCAAAGGTTCGTCACACAGGTGCGAAAATTGAACTTCAGCGCGTGCGCAGTCGATGATGGCATGATGATTTGACAAAAAGTCTCACCCGAGGATAACGTCATGCGAGCACACCGAAAGGACGATGAACTCGACAACGTACATAGAGCCTTGGATGAATATGCGGGCCGTACAGGTGCCGAGAGGTCGAACTAGCTGTGCTCTAGCCGTACGAAGCGATAGTCCAGAGAGCGGCATGGTCACTTTGCGTAGGGAACGGCAGAGCTGGGCGGCTATAACAGAAACGGCAGCACCTGTGTCGACAAGGGCAAAGGTAGAAACACCATCGACAGATATGGTGACGACGTTAGCAGGTGAAGTGCGAGGACTTGAGCATTTCGACGACGGCGCTGTTCTTGCCTGTGGAGAGTGAGTCTGAGATGGGGGCTGGGGTGACCGAGACTCGGGAAGGTTAGTGTATCCATGCTGCGGTGAGGGATAGCGAGCAAGTAGGTGCATGGGCTGTGAGTCATACGGTAATGGCCGAGTAGCGTCGTGGAGTGGTTGGAAGCGACAGCGACAATATCGTGCCACGTGTCCTGGAGTACCGCAGGCGTAGCAGATTGGTCAATTGTCAGGAGTGCGCCAGGAATTGCTGACTTGCGGTGCGGCTCAAGGTGTCGAAAAAGGGGCGAAGTGGGGAGGAACTGAAGACATGGGTGGCAAATGCTGCTGGCGGGGTCTGCTGCTCACCACCTGGGCATACGTAAGAGGCGCGGACACGGGCTGCATAACTGGCGCATGGGCAACAGGCATGGCCACAGGCTGCTGG